CTCTCTCTCCCTCTCACCCTCTCCCCCCCCCCCCTCATAACATGAATCATAACATTAACAAAAGTCCTGTGCTTATTTACAATATATCCTCAGACTCCTGACGCTTGTTAAGCTAATTGCAAAATCTTTCTTAGTTAACCACCAAAACTCTTAAATGTGGCAAAATGTTAAACACTTAATTTCTGTCTGAGGCAAAGTTTTTGTTCCAAAAGAGAAACTAACTTGAAACCATCTGTACTTGGTATATGGTTCTGAGAATTTTCTTCTTCTGCTCTTGTGTAATGTTTAATTACTGTCTCCTCTTCCTTTGTGATGGTGTGGTGATGCATTTGTGTAGCTACTTGGACTAGGAACAGCCCTGCTGGACAACGTTGATCCCAACCCAGAGAACTATGTGTGTGCTGGAGTGATCCAGACCAAAAGTCAGCAGGTTGGCTGTCTGCTTAGATTGGAGCCGAATGCCCAAGCACAGGTACAACACAGAGCTCACATAACCGTCCCTGCTAAATGTTAGGAATAAATGAATAAAGAAATCAATTTGGCTCAAGGATACCACCTTATACATTGGAGAAGACAAATACCTCTGAAAGCCTCATGTGCAGCATTTAGTCAGTGCTTTTCCAATTATAACTACCACTCAAAGTGCTTTACACTATAGAGTCATATTCAGCCTTTACACACTGCCTCTGATGACAGTGGGGCATTTTGGGATTCTGTCTCTTGCCCAAGGACACTTCAACATACAGACTAAAGGAACCAAGGATTGAAACACTGACTCAGTGGCCTCTCGGCTCTACCTCTACAGCTACACCCAGTCCTAAACAGCTGTCCGCTAACCAGAAACAAGTTCTTTCCATGTTATTATGCATCAAGATGAAACTAACCTCCCTTTCGCCCAGAACTACTGTTTAACATCATGTTCCTCTCAGGATGGAGAGTATCTTTCATATGTGTGGACAGTTTTTCACTGATATTACTGTCATTAGATTAATTACTAGTTTTAAACCTGCTCAAAATAAGTCCAACCAAGTTGTTGGTGTGGAATTATTTTGGTGCCTTTACATAAACCGTGGCTGTCAAATTCTATACATTTGCTTACTATTATTGAGTACTCTGTGGGTGCCAGGGCCTTCCACTGCCATGCTCCATGACTATGAAACTTTTTGTAGAGTTACAGCCACATGATTAGGTTGACGCACACATCACAGAGCATAGGAGTAGCAGCCGGCAGCAGCTCAAGTGCTAATGTTTGGGCTACTCCAGCCATGCACACCAGTGCATCAGGAGTGGGAGCAAGATGAAAGACAAAATGACAACAGAAATTGTTAACGAAATCTCAAGCAACAGCATTACTGAAGATCACACCCCAACGGACACAGCCCAAGGCTCAAAAGACGAGAACATTGTTGAAAAGAAGGGTCAGAGTAATTCAGTAGTGTGGAGATATTTTGGCAATTACAATAAGACAAGAAGCAGAGTAGCATGCACTGCAAATTGTGTCAAAAGCATTTTCCCCACAAAGACAGGTTATCTTTTTTTACCATCTGAATGAGAAAGTACAGAAACCGTGATTTGATTTATATTGTGATATACTTTATATCGATATGAACTAATGTGAAAAAAGTTATCACAATAACATTTTTTTCCATATCTCCCAGCCCTAGCGCCATGTGTCCGTCCCCCTGGCAATCTATGCCAATAGCAGCATGATTCAGAGCTGGTCCAAGGCCAGCCCTAACTTTAAACTATCAAAAGAAACATTTCAAGCCTACTGTTAAACGTAGAGAGGGTGTCTGCCTCGGAAACTGAAACTGGGAGGTCATTCCACAGGAAAGGAGCTTGATAGACAAAGGCTCTGGCTCCTACTTTACTACAATTGGTCAGCTATGTTCTGTGCCATTTGAATCTGCTAATCACGTTGATTTCAGGTTTATGCCCCATCAGAATTTCCTTTCTAGCTTGTTGGTCATAGGGCTGGGTTTAAACTATTCTCTGATAATACTGTATCTTTATTTGAATGATCCGATATCGATTCATAAAAAGGACGGATAGATTTTTTAATATAAACCTTTTCTCTTTCTGACTCCATTGTTTTCATAAAACTAGCATGCACACATTCACACCCTCAGGTCCCCGGGGGATATAAGTTTGTTTTGGGTGCTGCCCAAGCCAAGTCACCCAGTGTTTGTCCATTTACAAAAGAAAACTGGGCTGTTCAACTTAATTAAAACATATTTTAAATTAATAACACCTTCAGTGTTGGCTTTAAATTGCAGCTTGCTTAAAGCATGTTTGTTTCTGTGCAGGCTTAAAAAAGTTTGCTTCGTCTATGCATGGCAGGCCGTCAGCCCAACCCTACACTGAGCCAAATGTTATATATTTATTCAGAAGTCAATTTTTCTTAACAGAGCCAGAGTCCATTTTATTTATTGTTTTGTTTGTGTGTGGTTAATATATTTGTGTTTCATAATTAAGGATATTTTTATATGTTTACCTATATAAATAGAAGTGCACTCGAAATTAATTTAATTAATTTAAAATGATTTGCACATGAGGAACAAGATTTTAATAAAGAAGTAAGCCTATCAGAGGTGTGAGCAGCACTAGCGCTACACTACTCAAAATTCTGACTGAATAATTTAACACATTGAATCTGTTAAATATTAGATTTTCCTAATTTCTCTTAAAAACTAACTGAAGAATATGGATCTATATGTAGTATCAAAAAGAGCAGTGGTATCATTCAGATGTTAACAATACCACTCTCCAAGTGTTAACAGAAGACTTTTAGAACAGTTGCACTAATTACATAGCTTTGAAATTATTTTTAAAAAATCAAGACTGTAAGCTTTCAGTCTATAAGCAGTGGGTCAAAGAGGCATTTTGTGTAAATAGATGTAAATAAATGTATTATTATTAACATATGTAGTGAAGTGAGAAGTTTATATTTTTTAATACTTTACCTGATGATATTCAGTCTGACTGCCGAGGTTACAGATATGCATGCGCATTTCGGGAACAGTCATTTCTGTAGCTTGAAGCCCGGTAGTTTAATGCAATAAAAGCAAATGCTTTCGCATTTTATCTTGGCATTTGCATTTGGCCGACAAGCTACAGCCACACTCCAGAATCATATACATCATCATGTACATACAGACACTCAGCCGGTGGACATGTTGGGAAATTACACATGTGCTCTAGGGCTGTTGGAACAAACTTCAGGATTAAAATACCATTCCAATACTGTATTAATTATTCAAATGTGCATTTTTCATTTTATAAATGTGTTGGCTTGTCGGCTCGGCCTCTGCCTCTGCTTCCATCGCTCATCCCCTCTGCATGAGTTGTCCACACAGGGAGCATGCATACTGCAGCACTGCTGCTGAAAGCCTAGTCTTTCTCCATTAAATAATGTGGTGTTTTTTACCTTAGCCCTATAAGACAAACTGATTTGTGAATATGGCCTATGCTAATTCAAATGTATTGGTTGATTTCAAGATGTACTGTTGCTTATATGATGTTACAAGGATTATCATCAGATTCTTTCCACTGTCTATTTGGCTGTAAGGGGTTAAATTCTATAAAACATCTGAATATTATTTGAATATTAAAAATATTAAGGAATGAGATTATAGAGGAAGATGGTCAGACCTGTTGTGCTCTATGTATTTTTTTTGCAATCAGACTCAAATTTTTTGCCTTGATTGAATAACTCGCACAATGTGTGTGTGTGTGTGTGTGTGTGTGTGTGTGTGTGTGTGTGTGTCTGCAGATGTACCGTCTGACTCTGCGCTGCAGTAAGGACTCTGTGTCCTTGCGTCTCTGCGAGCTGCTGGCCCATCAGTTCTAGTTTCCACACTTCTACTATGACCAGTGCTCCCATCTTCCCCACCAGCGACCTCTCTCTTGAGCCCTGCTGCCCACACCTCTCCTCCTCCCTCCAATAAAGAATCATTAAGTACAAAATGTATAACTGACATAAGGGAAAAAGCAGCCGCTGCTAAGCAGCAACAGCAACATCATTGTCGTTATTCTTGTCCCAGATTCTGATTCCAGTTCATCCTTAACTTGTTTATTAACATGATGTGACATTCTATTCATTCTTGTTCTGTTGGTGTTTACCTATGTTGTGTATGTGTGCATGCGCACGTGCACATGCAAGCATGCATGTCTAGCTATAGTTAGGAGGGCCAATTTTGGTTGGATACCAACGTTGTGAGGACATTTTGACTTTGTGAGGACATTTTGGCTGATCCTCACAAACTAAAAGGGCTTTTTGAGGGTAAAGACTTGGTTTTGTGATCCGGGTTAGAATTAGGTCTGGGGTTAGGCATTTAGTTGCGATGGTTAAGATAATGGGCTAGGGAATGCATTATGCCAATGAGTGTCCTCATAACTATAGAGACGTGTGTGTGTGTGTGTGTGTGTGTGTGTGAATGTGTGCGTGCGTGCGTATGTATGTGTGTGTGTGTCTTTGCGTGTGTGTCTGTGCGTGTGTGTGTGTGCGTGTCTGTGCGTGTGTCGTGGTTGTGCTTGGGTCAGCTTCATCCTCCCTGCTCTTTAATACTGATGCTGACATTCCGTGAAAAATGGGAGGGACTTTTCATCGCAGACATGCACTCACCCCTCTCGTCCCACAAACACACACACATACACACAAACCATGTCTCATGGTTCTGGTGGGACCAACTAATGAAATCAGTTCTCTAATCTCTGCAGCACAGATCAGCTCACTTCTGTCTAGCATTCCCAGCGAAGACGCCTTTAAGGTGTTTAGATCCGTTCCAGCATGAGCTCGACATTTCCTGCCCAGAAGCCCTGTAATGATAATTTCATTGAACTATTACTCTCACTCATTGATGTTGTTGATTTGTTTATAAAATGTGCTAGTGGATTGCTTTACTTCTTTCTGAGACATTTCCATGATGCTTTTTAAGAAGGCCTGTGGTTCTCTAACCCAAGCCGTCCAGGGACAGCGGTGGCACAGATTGGACACTGTAGATGACTGTTACAGGGAGAAAACCTGCAGTGCTAAAACAGACTCGAGAACCGGTTTGAGTCTGTCTCATCTATTACCTGGGAAATGGTTTTGGGTGCTTGACATTGAAAAGATTAGGGAAGTGTCTGTGAGTGTTTTCGCATATGTGTCTGCATTGGAAGTGAGGACATCTATCAAACATATACTTGACAATCCAACCACAGGGTTCTCATCACTGTTAATTTTTGTCTTGTTAAACTGGAACACCCATTTTGAACACGTGTGAGCGAACCTAAATCTTGTGGCTTGTTGAAAGACTAACTCATTGTTTGACAAATGTAAGCCTGTATAAGTTCCCTGCCTCTGATAAGGAGCAGTGCACAGCTGCTTCCCTAAGTTTCTGAATCAGAAGCTGGGACTGTGGAGAAGATAGACCCAAACAGGAACACAATCATGGTTACAGAGGACACTATTACTGGCTTGTCCCCAGTGTCCATATTGACTTCTGCTGATTTTCTTTGTGAAGAAGTTTACAGCTTTTGTCATGATGAGAACACATGCACCATATTCACTCAAAGGATAGCACGGCTTTATAATCTTTACAGAGGGTGCAGGAGCTGAATCTATAGCATCATTTATGACAGAGACATCACTGGTACACACACAGATTCATATTCCTGCTTCTCCAGCCACACATATAGAGAATAGATCAATGCCAACCAGTCAGATGTGTACACAACCACTGCAGTAAATGTGTAGACAACAGAGATGTTCAGCAACCACAGAATCTTTCAATTGATGTGTCCAGGATGAAGACTCAAAGGATGAAGACTCAAAGATGCCCGTGACAACTACCAGTGTCATGGTGTGTGTGCTTGCATGCGTGAGCTAGTTGTTAGAAGATTTTAAAAAAAAGCATAAAGCTGTTTCTAATACATGGTCGCATTCCATTCTGTGGCTGCTTGGAAATCACAGGACATTGAACTTGTAGTGGAAAATAGTCATTTTGTGAGCGTGTGTATGTGAGTTAGATGTGTGTGTGTGTGTGTATCTGTGTCTATGCAGTATCCACTCGCTAATACAGCTTCATGTATCGGTGTTAAGAACCTCTCTAATACCTGTGTTAGAATTAAAAAATTTACTGTGTAATGAAAAAAGTGAAAGTAAAACTATGCTATATATCCAACAAAGTGCCTCGTGTCTTTTGTCACAGTTCTGTAACTTTGGAGAGTTTTACAGTTTGGCAGCAATAGTCACACTCTGAGGTACGTCAAGATTAGATGAGATCCTTTATTTGTCCCACCACGGGGAAGTTTGCAGTGTTACATTACCAAAGAGCACACTCAAAGAAAAGACATTAGTAAAGTAATAAGTAAACATGCTATACATACAAATGCAAAAAAAATCCAAAATATAAATTGTAAAGAAAAAATATATGCACTGTAAACAGAATATGTACAGTATGAGAATTTGAACAGTGAAATGAATTGCACAGGCAGAAATGAATATTGTACAGTTAGTGACGCCTGAGTCTTAAAGGTTCAGTTTGTAAAATTTTGTGACATCTAGTGTTGAAGTGTCATGTTGCAGCTGAACACCCCTCACCTCACCCTCTCCTTCCAAACATGAAAAAGAACCTGTGGTAGCTTCAGTTGTCATAAAAACTCAAAAGGTGTTTAGTTTGTCCAGTCTGGACTAATGTAAAAAACATGGCGGCCTCTGTAGAGAGGGTCCCCTCCATGTAAATATAAAGTATTTAAATATAAAGGGTCTTTTCTGGGGTAAAGAAAACTACAATTCATACAATTTAGATGAAATGAACTAGTGAAAACATCATGAGGATTATTCTACATTAAATGTCTGCCAATAGATCCTTTTCACCTAAATCTTACACACTGGACCTTTAAGTGCAGTCAAGAAATTGGTGTGAGTCTACAGAACTGGTTGTACAGACTAGACTGTTACAGGAAGAATCAGCCTGTGATACCTCTCCTTCAGACACTTTGGGTGGATCAGTCTGTCGCTGAAGAAGCTGCCCAGTGCTGTGATGGTGTCCTGCAGGGGGTGGAGCTGGTTTCCCATTAGAGATGGACAGCTTTGCCGTCATTCTCTTTTGTCCCACATCCATTGGGTCAAGGGGGTATCCCAGGACTGAGCTGCCCCTCCTAATCTGCCTATCCAGCTGTCGGCCCCGGCAGACCACACCATGAAGATCGCTGATGCCCCCACAGAGTCATAGGGTCTTCAGGAGCACCCCCTGTATTCCAAAACACCTGTCTCCTGAGCAGACAGTCTGCTCTTAGCCTTCTAACAGTGGCATGTGCAGTGGCATGATCGGTCCAGTCCACTCTACTGTTCAGGTGAACACTCAGGTACTTCAAATAAGTCACTTTCTGTTTTGTCCTTGAGGGAGCTCATGTTGGCAGGTGAGGGTGGTTCCTTGGTCACTGAACAATAGTGAACAACAACAGAGAGAAGTCCTTAATTCATCATGGTAGTACACATGTTCAAGATATACTCCCTTAATATATAGAATATATGTAGTAAGTTATTTTAAAATGTGCAGCTCCGCTCTGTTGCAGCCAGAGCTGAACATAGGATATTTATCAACCAACCACATGAGGATCACCGCACCTGAAAAGAAGTTACTGGCTTTTACAAACCAGAGGCTCTGCAAGGCAAAAACAAAGAAATCTTCCAAACCAAACCACCATCAGTTTCACTTACCACACCAAACATGGCTTTTCCAACTCTAGGTTAACTCCAAACACCAACCAATAGACAAGAACAAGTTCTTTCTGTGTTTCATACAGAAAACTTGCCAGCAACGCTCCGCTGCTATAGACACACACATTTATTTCAGTTTCATGTGCATTTGGCCACATTACAAAAATGTCATATTTAAGCTCCGTCAGACTGGTTGTTATAATGAAAATATATAGATTAATACTTATAGATGGAATGATGTTATTAATGATCACAGTGCCAGTTAATACTGCCTGTAACAGTAATAATAACAGTGAGAAGGCCCCATTGAAATTGGTCCGATTATTGTATTTCAGGCAAATGAATTGCGTTTTTAAGGCCTAGACATGCTCAAAAACCCATGAAACTTTGCAGAAAATTCAACAGTGAAAAAAAAAAAGAGATTCCGGAATAATTTTAAATGGGCGTGGCAAAATGGCAGAACATCGTCACCTAGAATGCAGCCCCCGAGTTTGCTTTTACCAATCTTCACAAAAATCTGTACACGTGTATCGTGACCAACCATGTCTTATTTTTCAGAAGGGCCTCAAGACCTTGATGGTGTAGACATATGGAAACTGTGAGTTTTCATTGAACACCATGTTAGTGGCTTGGAGTCAAATTTCAGTCCAGAAGGGGTGCGCAGTGCATGATGGGAGCTTCACCAGCAGGCCAAATCTATAACAGCATAACTAAGGGATGTTTCGGGCTCACCTATGTCAGCCCTAACTTTATCATAGAGGAACATTTTAAGTGCAACCTTGAATCCAGAGATGGTGTCTGGCTTATTAATCCTGTTTTAGCATCTCTGCATTGGCTCCCTGTAAATGTTATAATCCAATTAAAAATCCTGCCCCTGATATACAAAGCCCTTAATAATCAGTCCCCTTCTTATATTAATGAGATAAAAGCACATTATTATCCAAATAGATCACTTCGTTCACAAAACACAGGCTCTCTAGTGGTTCCAAGAGTCTGTGAGAGTAGAACAGGAGGTAGAGCATTCAGCTACCAGGCTCCTCTCCTGTGGAACCAGCTCCCACTCTGGGTTCAGGAGACAGACACCGTCTCTACATTTAAAGTTAAACTTAAAACATTCCTTTGTGGTAAAGCCTATAGTTAGTCCTGGATCAGGTGAGTCCTGAACCATCCCTTGGTTATGCTGCTATAGGTCTAGACTGCTGGGGGAACTCCCATCATGCCATTGCCAACTCTGTTATTCCCTCCCATAGTCTCTCTCTGGCTCTCTCAGAGTTTAAATATATTGGTTACACAACTGCTGCTGCGGCTTTGCCTCTCGAACCCAAACTGGGAGCTGGTTCCGCAGGAGAGGAGATGTTTACTTTATGAACCACCAACAAGGCAGGTGTTATTTTTCAGGTCAAATCAGCTCCCATTTATTCTGCAGCTGATTTGAACTGATTAATTAGAAGCAAAAAAAAAAACGATACAAGAGCTTATAAAATTATCGTAAGAAGTCCGCCTCCAGGGATCACAAGACTTCACCTGAGAAGCGGGAAAAGCGGATGAAGCGCTCCTGCCTGGGAAAGTAACGCCCCCCCTCAAGTGGAATCACTTCAGTCTAATCAGAGGCATTCAGTTCTGCCTTCCTCCCTTTGTGCTGTCTTTTCTCAGCCATGTGGTGTGCGTCCTGTAAGTCGAATTCCTCATTTGATATGTGTTTCTCTTTTTTACTTACCAATGCACACTATTCCTGTTGAGATTTTCTGATGTTTTATTAATCCTTTGTTCTTTCCATGCAGAGGTAAAACCACACACAGGGAAAGCAAAGAAAATTACCGAGAAATTAACGAAAAGAGAAATTGCTCTGCTTTGACCTCTGAACTTGGACTCTTGTCTCTTCCATGGTTTTCCATCATACTCCAGCATAACCCCTAACCATCAGATTTAGAATCTGACAATTATATTCATAAATACTTAGTATATAGTTCTTTTCCAAAAAACCTCATCTGCATATTTAGACATAACATTTCAGGGGAAAATACATTATTGAAATGAGTCATTAACTGGGGAAGTTCTGTGGTGAGGTTTTAGTAGAAAGTTTTCAATCCTGTTCACCTGCAGTGCCAATTGGCAAATGTACAGAAATGTGTGCATTTGAATGCCTTATTTGCATATTAAGGTGGTGATTGTGATGACATACGATACAAATTTGACTGTAAGAGAACCTGTTCTCTTGCCTTCAGTTGTCATAAAAAGTCTAGTTTGTCTAGTCTGGGCTACTGTAAAAAACATGGCGGCCTCTGTAGAGAGGACCCTTTCCAGATGTAAATATATTATTAATGGTTTTAATAATATCTTCTAACACTGTGTGTGTATCATTAAAGACGAGTGTGTGTAAAATCACTGCAGTGAACACGACTGTGCCATCAGGTGCACTGGAGATCATTCAGAAAAAATAAAGATGAACTATTCACTTTCAAACTTCTATTTGTGAAGTAATTGGTCCGATTGCTCTAAATGATGAAGAGGAAATGGAGGTATATGCATTCTATACATCTGTGATATTAGATCTTTGTGCTGAACTGAGTCCTGTATTAGATCAACCGACAGAACCGAACCGTCCCAGTACAAACACAAGCATTTAATAATAATTATGTTAAATTCTATATATTAGCACATCTCAGCTGTCTCTGATTTAATAACCCTGCAGCCTTGGATCATTAAAATACAAACAGGCGATACAACAAGTTCTCTCACAGTCTGACAGTGTGAGGCGAAACTTTTTTTGCCTCCACCATCACTCTCACTCACTGTATTAACATATTATATTAACAGCAGCGGCGTATCACTGTATTTTCTTTATAAGTGACATCACTGCTGTCCAATTAAATCTCTCTTCACCTCATTAACAAACACCTCGATGTCAGTGTCAGGAAGTCTCGCTTCCTCTTCTCATCACTTGATACTGTGACTCTGTCATGACTCACTGTGGAGATTAATATTCATGAGGTGCTTTGCACTGACCATTTATAGTTGAATGTGGGCGTGTGGAGGGCGGGATATGTACAAACGTTTCCAGGTGCACTGTGATTTATAAAGTGAACTGTGCGGGCGCATGGTTTTATAAATCGGAATTTTCTTTTGCGTATGCCACTTTTATGAATCCCACGCACTGTTTTATAAATGAGACCCCTGGTTGGATTCCTCTCCACTTTCAGGGATATTAATCAATTTTCCTCTCCATTCCCTCCACTAATGTAAACGGCACTTTAAGCAGGCCACATCTGAAGATTTTCGTCAACCAGACCTGTTTGATTATCATTGCTGATGGTGTTGTTTTTGTCTGACCTTCTTCTTCTTCAGCTGCTATGATTCTCCGGTTCATTCCCATTAGGAAGAAGATGAGAGAGGTTGTGCACCCTGTAACAATTCCTTCTTCCAGTGGGTGCCACTCAGTTGTGAGGTTGGTGATTTTGAACTACATGCATTGATGTGGTGCATATTCATGGTGTTACTGTCTGGCAGTATTGTTATTGATGAGTGTTTTTTGTGTGAGTGTGTGCTCTGTTCAGGAGATGAGCTTTGTAGTGCCACCGTCCTCCTGATTGGCTGGATGGGCTGATTTGTCCTGGAGGCTGTCCACTGCGGGTCGGTTCCTCTGCGACATCATCCTGAGGTTTAAAGTGTTCAGGGTTTCCAGGGGTCCGAGGACAGCAACTTGACAGCAGCCCCTCAGTTCTGTCCCGTATGCTAGATGAAGTTAATAAATATTTGTGTATATATTATAATTAGTTCCATTCACTGTCCGTTTGTAAATAGTAATGAAGCTGTAGGGGTGAGCTGCCTCGCTGGAGTTAGGCTGAAAAAAGGAACTGTAGTCCCTTAAAGGTTCAGTGTGTAGAATTTAGTGATATCTAGTGTTGAAGTTGCATGTTGCAGCTGAACACCCCTCACCTCACCCTCTCCTTCCAAACATGAAAAATAACCTGTGGCAGCTTCAGTTGTCATAAAAACTCAAAAGGTGTTTAGTTTGTTCAGTCTGGACTAATGTAAAAAACATGGCGGCCTCCGTAGAGAGGGTCCCCTCAATGTAAATATAAAGTATTTAAATATAAAGGGTCTTTTCTGGTTGGAGCGATCTAACCAGAAGTACTCTGAACTAGTACTATTTATTCTAACTGAGGCCTCGGAGACGCATATAATAATTTCAGCCAGGAAATTGCCCCAAAGCCAAATTTCCCTGAAGTAAAAAACAAATAATCCCATTCCACCCTATCAAATGCCTTTTCGGCATCCAGGGTTATCAGGGCTTCTGAGCGCCTAGTTGATGATGGGTTATAGACCACATTAAATACTCTCCTGAGATTCAAAAAGGAATGTCTACTGGAATAAACCATCAAGCATTGAGCTAACATTTTAGACAATCATTTTAAATCTACATTTAGCAAACTAATGGGGCAATATGAGCCGCATAATAATGGATCTTTACCTTTTTTTATGAGTAACAAAATAGATGCTTGGTTTAAAGTTTAAAGGGAGTACACCTGAATTAAAAGCCTCAATAAACATTTCTAACAAATACGAGGCAAGCTGTTTACCAAATGTTTTATAGAACTTGGCCGGAAAGCCATCCAGACCCGGGCTTTTACCGCTTTGCAGCGATTTGGCTGCCGCCTTGAGCTTGAGCGTGGTGATAGGAAGCTTCAATTCCCTAGTCACATTCTGATCCAGAGGAGGGATGTTCATTTTGTTCAAGAAGGAGTCATGGTCTGCTAACACAAGGGAGTGGTCAGAAGTATATAACAACTTGTAAAATTCCATAAACGCTTCGTTAACCTCTAATGGGTCCGAGTGTGGACCTTGAACAAAGCGAAGAGTTCAGTAGTATAGTGTGACAAATGAAGTTTATTTTTATGTGTCATATACAAAATATTGTCCCCCCTTATAAAAGCTTTATTGTTTCCCACAACACGGAAGCTGTTACATCAGGAGTTTTATTAACCTGAAAGAAAAAGTCTAGAGACTTTGAAATAAATTTGACAAAATCCTCCTCTAACAGTAATGTGTGTTAAGACACCACGGGGGCCAAGCATTAATACACTTCTGAAAGTAGATATCCATAGAGACTGAAGCGTGATAAGACATTTGGATTTACAACTAGAGACGGATTCAAGCAGCCTGTTGTCACCCAAAAAGAAATCGATGCGGGTGAAGATGTGGTGAACGTGCGGAAAAAATGAATATTCTCTTTTACCAGGATTAGAAGAGCGCCAAGGATCGACCACATTAGACTCATCCATAAAGGCTTCAATTACTTTGGCTGACTTGGATTGAGCAGCTGGAGCGGTCTAGAGAAGGATCCAGCCAATAATTAAAGGAGCAACACCCCTTGATCTACTGGAAAAGGAAGACAGATGTACCCAGCCACGTTTCAGCCTGGCACTATCCCACACAGTTTGTGTTTGGCGTCTAGGCTCCGACTCAATCACTCCCCCGATGTGATCACACAAATATAATGGGAGTGACGAGCAACTACTTGCAACCCCCCCCCCGCCCCCCGGAGCCTACAGGTGGATGCTGGGGTGGTGGAGGGGCTGAAGCAGTTGGTAGCGATACTGCAGCAGCAGTGTGAGTTGATGGGGAACTTCTCTCTGCTTAAATAGGCTGCCTAATAAGGTGGGTGTGTATAATAGATGATTGTGGAGAATGAGGTACGTCACATGAAGTGTGTCACATGATTGGAGCAGCGCAGCTCGAGTTGGCTGCCTGAACTAGCTCGCAGGGTAGTAAGGTCCTAAATAATGTCAGACCTTACTACATTTGATCGGATTATTCAGGCCTTTACAATTCAGACCGACAAATTTTATATCTGCCCCAATTCGAGGTGGTGATGTTTTAAACTGGGCCATATGGAAGCCATGGTTTTAACAGTTGACGAGAATAGAAGAGTACAAAAACAGAAAATAAAAATTAAATGTATAAAATGGGTGCCACCCCATCCCCCATCAGAACCGAAGAGACA